CCAGCGTGCCAAACACGGTCCTCACAGCTGGGTGAACACCAGGGAGAAGTGGAGGGCAGTGCAACTCACTGAAAGATCCCAAATCTCTTTCCTGCTCCACTACACCTTTGTGTGTGCAGCTCATTTGTGCACAAAAAGACAAACAGTAAAAAAAAAAAATAAAAAAAATCATTATAGAGCAGCAACACAGGTTCAGTGTGTTTATGGTTTGATTTCTGTATAAAATCATATCAAACACCTTCTTTTTCTGGCTTTGCTGGAGAGAGACATTTCATTGCAAAGACCTTTCACTCCAAAGTCTGCAAAAAGTAGCACAAACTTAATCTAAAATCTCATAATGATTAAAAGTAGTGAGAAATGATTTTAGTACCGTATTTTCCGCCGTACACATTGCACCGCCCTATAACTCGCATCAGTCCAAATATGTCTAATAAAGTGGAAAAATCCATAAATACGTTACTTTGCCGTATAAGTCACATCTATTATGCGTCACCGCTGACGCGTCACGTTTGTTACACATCACCACTGACAACCCGGAAATGTGGGCTGGTGCTGTGCCAAATGGCAGCCGCGGGAGCATGGGAGGACTTTAACAAGACTTTAACAAGATAACCACCTAAAATATTTTTTGTTTGCTCAAAATTATAGCAAACGCGTGTCTCAGTCTAACTTTTGCTTAATAAATGCACTTTGACGGTCAAATCAGCTGCATTTTCAAAACCCTATTTGCGGAAGCTGGCACGCGCAGATGGACGAGTCGCTTTGCATTTCTTTGAAATTTACCAAGATAACCACCTAAAACAATTATTTGTTTGCTCAAAATTTTAGTAAAGATGTGTCTCAATTGAACTTTTACTTAATAAATGCACTTTATTGGTCAAATCAGCTTCATTTTGCCGGGGCACAGCGAAATGAAGCTGATTTGACGGCTGCTCCAAGCGAGCTGAACAAAGGTGGCAGTCTAAGGTAAGCTGATTGTGTCCTTAATAGCCAATTTTACTTTTTTATTACATGACACAATGGCATGCCATACCACTCAAGTGCCACCTAGCAGCTAAAAATGGCAGTGTTCAATATTTTCAGCCAGAATGAATGAAAACAGTCATATCTCAGCCAAAAATTGGTTTATAATTATGGGGGAAAATCCATAAACACGTTGCTTCATCATATAAGTCACAGGGCATGCAAATTATGCGAAAAACTGCGACTTTTATAGGGCAAAAAATACAGTGTTTTTTTTTTATTTGCTCAGCTAGTCTCATTAGCTATGTTTACATGGACATAAGTAATCAGGTTAAACGGCCATTTGGAATAAAAATACGTCAGGTAAATGCCCCATTTGGATTATTTTTTGTTTATTCAGCGCGATCCAAAAGAATTTGTGATCAGAATGAAATGGGTGGTTTACGCTGATTCATAATCCGAACGGTCACCACTCCCCATACTCACTGAAGACATTTTAGCCATGACAGTTACTTTTTTTTAAACTTTATTATCACCTGTTGCCAAAAGCAAAAGGGCAATAAGCTGTAAGTGTTAATTTGTCTGACTGATCGCAAAATATCTCATGGCAGACTGGATACATTTCAGTGAAACTCTCAGGAAGTAATCATCTACAAGTGATTAGCTTTTGGAGTCACCCTAAATCAAAATGTCCACCACGACTAATCAACTTTAGCTGAACTAAAGGGCTCTATCACAAATATTGAGGTAAGCTTTGGTGAAGCTAAGCCTCAACAAATATTCCAGGAGCTAACACAAGATCCATCATGAGACCAATTGCAATGCTTTTCACCAAAACAGCAATAACGCCATTCTTTATTATCAATAATCTTAGTTTAAAGCTCTGGCCTGAAAGGCAGCGTGTCATATGCACTTCTTGAACAAATGCTAGAACACTTGTTTTTCTGGAGTCCATCACAAATGTTTTGCTTTAATTCTTCAGCTTGTCCTTCTGCAGCTTCTTTTATTCTTTACAAAAAAAAAAAGTTCTGATTTGTTCAGTGAACTTATCAGGGCGACACTAATCATTTATAGGATTCAGAGCTGAGCAAAAACAGAACGGTAAACGGTGTCTGGGCAGTTATTGACTAAATCAGCCTTGTCTGATGGTTTCTTTTTAAATAAAACACATAATGTGAAAACCATATTTCACAGCACAATCACATAATGGATTTTCACACAGTGCTCATTTTATTTAGCACACTCTTGATATGATGAATAGTTTTAAAAAATCAATGTTGCAGCAGTAACGCTGGATGCGGCCGACATCTTCGGATGCATCAGTTAAATAAAAGCGTTTGACACTCCTCTTCATTAACTTTTATTATTAATGGTGACTGACATTAAACTCTGCAAACGTTGATGTTTGACTCAGAAACTAATTAGCAACATTGTTTTATGGTTGGATGCAGGGAAAGTCGCTCAGTTGCTTGGTCTGTAAAATGTCACAGAGAGAAATGACCTTTAATATTTTCACTCAACGCAAGCTGATATCTTGTTTTGTCTGCTCAGAAGCACCGAAAGGCAAAACCGCTACCTTTTGCTCCAGCTCCAGCTATTTATTTAAATTTGTTCTGTTTTCTGATTATAAGCACTATTTTAAGTATTTGACATAGCAGTAAATCAGTGTAAGTTGAATGAATTTTAAATACCTGTTTTGGGTTGCGGGAGGTTTAAGTTTGTCCCCGCTGTAACTGGGTGAAAGGCAAGGAGCAGACTGGAGACATCAGGGGTCCAACACAGGCCACAACAGCCGTGCAAGCATGCAGTTGCTTAAGAATCACCAATTCACCAAGTTTTGTAGAACAATCACATCGGACCAATGCAAATTTAGTGACGGCCGTTATAAACCTCTAAGAACCTTCTTAATAAGTAACAGTTGCTCCAAACCCCCTTTAGATTCTGTGCCAGAGATTAGCTGAAAAAGGGGCTCTGTGCTGGGAGTGTGTACCAGATGCGTGTCACTTCTTTAACTGCTTAAAGAGTCAGATTCCAACCATCAAACGCTGTTATTCGCCCTCTCTGTAAGTCCACATATCTGGAGATTTTCCTGAACGACTTGCAAAATGCAGGGGGTGCTTAAACCTTGTAATCCTGCCTCTCAGCGATCATACCCACATCGAGCTGGAAATCTGCCAGAATGTATATCTCTGAGTGACAGCATCTGGCTGTCACTAGGTTACTTATTGCTTGTTTGTTGTCTTGTCTTGTGTCTACATATGCTCTTGACAACAACACGCTAATAAAGCTGCTTTTCCAGGCATCTGTCAAAGACATACTAAAGCTTTCTTCTTTCCTTTCCTTTTTTAAAAGGGAAGTGCATTGTTTCCAAGCGCAGTGTGCATTTGTGAAAACAATCAACTTGGAAGTTCTGTTGGCTTCATGTGATGCAAAGTTTCTATTTTCAATCTAAAATAATTGTTGCAGTAGAAGTTATTAAGTGTTTTGCGAAGCTGGATGTGTGGCAGTACAGAGGAATAGATGGCTGAAATTTCCAGAGATTACCATGAATGCATTTAAAAAAAATAAAAAATCCCATTACCTTATTTTTCGGACTATAAGACGCACTTCAAATCCTTTTAATTTTCTCAAAAATCCACAGTGAACCTTATATTCAGGGACGCCTTATGTATTAATTCTGGTTGTGCTTACTGACCTTGAGCCGATTTTATGTGGTTATTGTTAATGAGTTGAATAAAGTTTGACTTATCTGACTGTTTTATTTCACTTAATGCGCCTTATAGTCCGAAAAATACGGTATTCACTGTAATTTCAACAGCTAGATATCTTCAATCTCTTTTGCACAACGCTTGTAAATGAAATGAGTCCCCGAGGCTCAATGGGATTAACCTGTATAAATAAGGGTTGAATGAATGAAAAAAAAAGTCAGATGCACTGTCCTTGCTCTTGTGAGAGCAGCAATTTTTGACCTCGATCACTCTCACTCTGACAGTTTGTCCCTGATGCAAAGTGACAAATCCTCCAGCTGACAAACTTTTCCTCCATCACAGAAGTTGAACTCCTTCTCAGCTCATTGTCACTTCTTTCCAAGCCATGCACAGGCTGAACAGTAAAGAGTGGATCCGCTGTCGCCTGACGTTAACGTGGTCATCACAAAAACAAGTTAGAATGATTATTGTCTAAAACCGTTAGTTCTGCCTTCATTTTTTTAACTTGAAAATTAAAATAAAATATAAATAGGAGCAACAACTACAGTAACTGCAGCAACCACAATACTGTATAATCTATAAAAGACCATAGCAATAAAAAAAGAAACACTTCACTGTCCAGAGTACAAAGATGTCTCTTTTACTGACAATGAGCTCACCTTTCCATTGACGATCAGTTAAAATGATGCATTTGCTTTGCTGCAGCCTCACTCTTCAGTTTGCAAGAGAAAATCCAGCTGTTCCTGCGTGGACACATCTCTCTCACTGGCATGGTTTTGCACATTAACATGTTAACGAGTGCAGGTGGTACACCAGGTAATTTGATAGGAACAATATTCAAAATAATAATGAGTGTAACACATTTCAATAAGACAACAACAAAAAAAGACCTGCTGCAATAGATGGATACTAGTGCAGGACCATTTCATGACAAAAAGTCAGCTTTAATTTTAATTCCTATGAAAAATAATAGTATTTTACATAGTTTAACAAACACTACAATATACCTTTGGCTATTTTTATGTCACTTCTTTATTTTTTAACTAAGATTATTTTTTTCTTAAAGCAAGAAGCCTTGACTAAATTAAAAATAAAGCATTGTTTTGGTATTGTGTATTAATTTTCTGCTCCTCAAAGCTAACTTGTGGCACTTTTTGTTCATTACTGCGACACATACATGCACCCACAAAGACACATACACAACTGTGTGCAAGAATGATTCTGAACAGGCAATAATATAAAATGGTTAAGGTTTTGCTGTTCTGAATGACAAAGAATTGACAATGTTTATATGCTGCACCGCTGTAAATTGTCCCTCTCTTTTTCCAGGCGGAGCTGAATGGCATTAAATGGCGTTGCTACAGCTTCCGCGGCAGCGGAGAGTACGGCCCGGTGATCTCAGCCCCGGCTCAAGATGACCCGGTCCTGCGCAGCTTCATGCGCTGCGTGCAGGCCAACCTGCTGTGCGTATGGCGACGCAAAATCAAACCCGATGCCAAGGAGTTGTGGATCTTCTGGTGGGGCGAGGAGCCCAATCTCTCCGACGTCATTCATCGTGAGCTGGAAGGTGAGTAAAAGAGAAAAATGGGAGGACAGGGATGACGGATGAGGCTCTGTCCATCAGTAATTCTTATCATCCCATTGGTCTAAACCATAGCTTGCCATGTGCTCTGAAAGTTTGAAGAGGCTGTATAGTTTGATAGCTGCTCTTTATTACGCTGCAGTGGATTATATAAAGTGGAAATGTGACATGAATACAGCCATCATGTGGTTTTAGAGTGTTTTATATAAAAAACTGACAATGCAATAGGAGAATATGTGGGTATATTCCAAGCAGACACACCAGAGATGGGAGTTGTATGAGTGCCAAATGGATTTAAGGCCTATAATGTGGGATATTGCCTGTAGATAATACAGTACTTGAGCTACAGAGGCTAACATATTGCAGAGTCAATATACAGATTATTTAGTCTGCTGTACATTTGAGCTGAGTGCTGTTTGTTCAAAACATTTTTTTAGAGGCATTGATCTGTTTTGTGTGGAGCAGTCCCATTTTAGTGCCTTGGACGGCATGAGTGTGAATCGTGTTTGCTTTGCAGCTCAAACATTTCTGTTCTTTTGCTGCTTCAGGAATATCCTGCTAAAGCACAGAGTAGCCCGTCCTCGCTGGTATTTACTGAATGTATGCGCGCGACGTGTTAGTGAAAATTACACTGAGCTATCTCACTTTGGAGAGCGCTACTGTCAGCGTTATTGTCCCTGTTTATAGAGATATTTGCATTATCTCTCTGTGCACGTGTGTGGTGGTCCAACATATCGACCAAGCCTCGGAAATACAGGGAACCAGGAGAGGGATTATAATGGGCTTGGCTTTGCTGAACAACAGCCGGGAGCGTGAACAAACAGGTATATTGGTTCGAGAGGTTGAAGCAGTAGAGAGAATTTCAGGCTTCAGTTACCTAATAAACTGACTTGATGTGAAAAGGCCTCGCAGGTGCTGCAGTTAAGCATTTGCCAAATGTTTTTCCTGCTGCAGGGAGAGCCCTTTACTCTGCACAAACATGTAGTGGAGTTTTACACTTGCATCCGACTGTACTTACATCGTCTAGTGTGATATGGCTTCTGTGAGTGGTGCGTTTTGCTGTTCTTATTGATTTTGAAAGATCTACACAGGCTAATAATGATCACAATAACACAGAGTCGTTAAAGGGAGAGCTGTGGTAGCAATTTGATTTTTTTCAGCAAAAATCTCATTACCTGAAGACATAAAACGTGAAATTTTAGCATTACCTCACCAATTTACACGCCACTAATGGCTCCCTAAAATATTGATTATGACTCTCTTTGAGCAGCACACTGAGGTCCAATAGACTTGACAATAACCTTGACTATTCAATTACACTTTATGGCTATTGATTTGTAACCATTGCAGTTGTGTCCCTATTTTTAAACAAGTCTTTGTCGGTTTGTTCATGCAGACCATGAAGATGTAATCAGTAAAATAATGTTTACTGAACCATTCCTTTGGACACCTTAGATCAGTTTTTTTTTGTATTTAAAAATAAATACAATTTTTCGAATGTGATCATTAGATATAAACCCCCTCCATAAATATCACAAAACTGGAAAAGATAATTACAGTATTTTCCATCGTACACGTCACACCGCCCTATAGGTCGCATCAGTCCAAATATGTCTAATAAAGTGGGAAAAAACATAAATAAGTCGCTTCACCGTTACATCACATCTATTATGCGTCATCGCTGACAACCCGGAAATGTGGGCCGGTATTTTGCCAAAAATAATTGGCTGCCAAATGGCGGCTGTGGGAGCGTGCACGGGAAAACTTTAAGAATTTAACATGATTAACACTTAAAAACAATTATTTGTTTGCTCGACATTATAGCAAAGGTGTGTCTTAGTTGATCTTTTACTTAATAAATGCACTTCAGGGGTCAAATTAGCTGCATTTTGCCAGGGTGATGCAGCAAAATGAAGATTATTTGACGATTGCTCCAGGCGAGCTGGACGAAAGTGGCAGGCTAAGGCAAGCCGGTTGTGCCATTAATAACCACTTTTACCTATTACATAACACAACGGCATGCCATACCACTCAAGTGCCATCTAGCAGCTGAAAATGGTAGTGTTCAATATTTTCTGTCAGAATGAATGAAAATCAGAATCTGGATCAGAATAAGCTTTATTATCATTGTACTGAGATACACCGAGAATATATCCGTACCGTCGTCCGAAAGATGGGCAGAGTGCACGTTGCTGCTGCTCTTTAAGAGTGCGTCCTCTTATCCTTTTCAGAATACTTTTAGGCTTAGATGAGAAAAGGGAATAAAACATGAGGAGAGACAGTATAAAAAAAAAGATCTCTCACAGGGAACGATTTGAGGCATCAAAAAATCTACCGCAGCAAAGCAACATAAATAGACATAATACATATGAGGCCGGGGAAGGCTTTGAGTTTTAAGGGAAGGTCGTAGCATAGTCCAGAGCCCCCTCAGCCATTGTCCAGATAAAAGGTGTTTGTTATCATCCAGAAAATGGTCATTTCTCAGCCAAAATTTGGTTTATAAATATGGGAAAAAATCCATATACAGTATAAGTTGCTTCTGCGTGTAAGTGCAAATTATGCAAGAAAACGCAGCTTATAGGCCAAAAAGTACGGTATACTGTATTCTTGTTTTGTCCACAACAACAATGCAAATTATTTCATGTTTTATTTAATAGTTTTAACATCTAAATCTATTTTTGCTCTGTAATGGGACGTTGAGGAAAGGTGAAGCTGTTTGTTCTTGAAATTATTGCCAGTGAAGTTGTAAAAACAATAAATTCTTAAAAGAGACTAATAGAATATTTTAATGGCCCAAAAAAGGTAAATACATATCAGGGTGTCATGTTTTGCCCTGTTTGACAAATAAATCATTATTTGAATAATTTAGAACAGATTTATAGTTCATTGGTATGAGCCAGTTGACATTTTTTCCATACAAAACTAACTATTACCATCTTTAAATATTAAGTGCTTTTTACTGCATAAAGCCATTTCACATTCCTCTTATCTGTGTGTTATTTGTCCTTAGCTTCAGCACGATGGTTCTGCTGCTGCTTGTGGTCTAAATTACTTTATTGAGTCTATTTTTAGCTCCTGCTTCAGAGTAGATATTCTCTTGGCAAAATAGAGATTCTCAAGCGATTTAAGGGGATGTGATTGGTCCTTACATAAATATATGTTAATTGGCCTCCAGCACCTATTAAAACTGCACTGCTGGAGTAGAAGCTACATAAATGTTGCCATTATCTGCTATGATGTGTTCTACATTGAACAAGTGGAGCATAAAGTAGACGGATCTCTTATATGAGTTTCCTATAATTCAGTTTTTTTTAAACGTTTGTAGGGTTTTTGAATATTCTGCTTTAAAACTTAAAAACTAGTGTTTCTTGAAGGATTGCATGTCACACTCCAACTTAAACTGCCGTATTTTCAGACTATAAGGCGCACCGGATTATAAGGCGCATTAATCGAAACGAAACAGTCAAACAAGTCCAATTTTATTTAGCTCATTTACAATAACCACATAAAATCAGTTCTAGGTCAGTAAGCACAACTAGAATTAATACATATGGCTCACTGTCAATTTTTTGAGAAAATTAAAGGATTTTAAGTGTGCCTTATACGCAGAAAAATACGGTAAAATAATGTGATGTTGAGAAACGATGAAGTTATAGCCGTTCGCTCAAACCTTGAAAACGTTTTACGAGAGAGCTCATGCTCAGCGAACATGTTGGGGATGCCTCCCAGGCACTTCCACAACAAATTTCAGCTCATTATTTGAAACAATGAGTTATAGTTTCTCTTGTAAATGAGTCCTCGAGGCTCAATGGGATTAACCTGTCAAAATAAAGGTTGAATAGTTATTTTTTAAGCCCTTCAAAATGACAGCACTCTTGAGTCCGAAGAACAGTTTGCGCTAAACCCCCTAATGACACACAGTTATTTAGCCTCTAAAGGTGTGAACACGGCGAGCAAGTTTTCTTTTCAGTGCACAAACTTTGCAAACGAGACAATTTAAATGAACCAATTATCTGAGCTTTGAACTGTGCAATTAATGTGGCTTGTTCAGTGCGAAAAAAGTAAATCCCAAGAGTGGACCGTAAGCAAAGTTAACTGTTAGGTAAGTCCAAAAGGTGTTTCTTGGTGTTATTATGTGGCAGCATGTGAGGTGTTAATGATCCTGGAAAAAAATTGATTAATCAAACTAGATCTGCATGTAAACAATCCACTTTTATCTGAGCTAATGATGATTAAAGTGACTTTATTGTTGCAAATAAAACAAAAGAAAAAAAGTTGCTTTTATGTTGTTAGTAAACCAGAGGTTGCTGGTTATTAACAAATTTGCTCATTTATGAATGCACACTATACATTTAAACAGTTTTTCTAAAGTATTTTACTTGTAGAAGTATCAGTAATATTTAATGGTCATACTTATATGTAAATTGGAGCTGAGTGAGTTCTCATACTAAACTAGAATGAGCTTATAGTAAAGAGGATTTTTTTAAGGACTGCTATAAAACATAACATCTGCTTGCCTAAAAACACCCAAAGATGCGCACATATTAACACACATTAACACACAGACACACACTTGGCTTTCATTAACGACGATAATACAACTTTTTTTGTGTAAAATCTCTCAGGTCCTTCTGTATGCCTCCCATTAAGCTCCGAAAATAGCACTCAGGGTGTGAAAAGGATTTGGTAATAGTTAATTAAAATGAAGCTGGATTTTGTCCAAATTAGAATCAGCTGCAACACGGGGAATATTAGTGTTTTAAGAAGGCTTTAAAAAGCTACACACCTGAATATCTGTTTGCTGGGAGAATGTTTGGTGCTTGCTTTCTCTCTTACTTGCAATCATTGTTTCTTTGTGTGATTATTATTTCTATGGTGTTCCTATAGCCACCCTGTTTCCTGTTTGTAGATGACCTGGTCTGGTCAGGTGACCTGGCCTGCTGCTATTGTAGGATAAATGCAGAAACTCAACAAAATGTACCTCT